TATATATATATATATATATATATATACTTTTTTTGCACCAACCATTTGTTTTTGAGGCGACATTAGACTGGATTAAGGAACAATTATTTCTTGACGTAGTCCCAAGCTAACATATTATGAATGTCCATCACATTTGACGTTTGACACTAAGCACACGTTAACCCTTTGACCTCTACACATGCAGATTTCTATTGACTCCTAGATCCCATTAACTACATGACATCATCAAACATAAACGTCAATATTGGGGGTCAAACTCGAATGCATTTACACATAGACATGTGAACTGTATGTACAATATACAGAAGAAACATTATTACATAAAAATATATTTTCCAAATTTGTCTGTATTGAATCATACAGCATGTCTTGGGTCAGTGTCACCATTTCTATTTACATAGAATTAGACAGAAGGTCACTGTTACCCCAGTGTCCACAGGTCAGAGCTTTTTATGGCTCTGGTAGTACACACTGAGGATGATAAGAACAGGAGGCCGTAACCTGCCGCATGCTATTGTTAGTCCTTTGCAGTCATTCCTCCATCACTGTTGCTAATTTTAGACTCAGTTGTTAAACAAATATATACTGTACATCAACATCTGACCTAAAACAGCTGTATTGCTAAAAAAAAGACAGAATTACATCAGTGGGGTCATTTTTTAAGTTATTTTTAATTTCAACATGTTGCTGTGTTGTAATGGCTCTGAGATCAAAGGTCGGAATGTTTTTATGTTTAAGACTTAAAAAAGATTGAAGAGAGGATTATGACATGAAAAAGAGATAAAGAGAAATTTAACCTCTTACCAACTTACAGAACATTATATTTAATTCTGTTAAAGAAATAAACATCTATTTATATGTATTTATATTTTACAAATTACAGTTCTTATATCTATGATAAATGTGTTTAACATGTGAGGTTAAAGTCACAATACCGTATTTTCACTTCTTAAAAAATATATAGAAAAATAATATTAATATATAATATATAAAAATTACACCTATTACATTATAAACATCATTCTCTGTGAACTAATCTTTCACTGTGAACTAATCTTTCGCTGTGAACTAATCACTCTCTGTGAACTAATCTTTCACTGTGAACTAATCTTTCGCTGTGAACTAATC